GTGGGGAAAAATGGGGGGATATCTGTAATACTTTCAACAATAAAGATAAAAAAAATAAAGTCAAGCTTTATAAGAATCTATAAAGCACAAAATTATATTAAAAATCTGAGAATCATTAGATTTTCAAAAGGATCTGTGATTTTCACCATCCTCCCCTCCAGAATTACCATTTAAAGACTCTATGGACTTACAAAAGTTATACTAAGAAATAATCATGATTTCAGATATAACTAAAGGCAGATTTATATTTTAATATTCAGACATGCTGATTTAAGAATTTTAGTTTTATCTTAATACTTTTATTAAGTATTTTTTACCTAATAGTACTCTATAAAGCCTTAAAGATCTGCAGAGCTAGCCTGGGAGAAAGAAATTACCCAATTAACTGTACTTGAGTACTTACTTGAAAGTGGGCTGTATTCCATGTAGTGCTTAATGAAATAGTTAATTATGTATTAGCTGTTTATATAATTAATATTAAATATTAATTTAATATTACCTTTGCAAGTAAGGTATCAGGTATTTTGGGGAATATAGACATGAATAAAACTGTCTTGGTCCTTAACAAACTTGATGGCTAATTGACATGCACTTATAGTGAAATACAATATATAGATTATGAGAACAGGCCAAAAAGTGCTATAAGCAGTTTAAAACACAGAATTCAAGTTGAATCTGGATATTAGGGGGTGGTTTCTTTGGAGGTAAGCTTAGTTGGATAATTAGGTTTTAGCAGGTTGAGATGCATGAACAGAGGCAGAAAATAGTGTGGCCCCAGTGTATATTTCCAGATTCTTGCCTTTTTGTGATGTTGGGAATGAATGACTTTTCTTTCTTGCCAGCTCATCTAGGTATTTAAAAATCTTATATATATTCTAGCCTTTTATTGCTGGTGTTTTGTGAAAGAATCTGGCTGTTGGGGGAAATATATGTCACATATCTGGAATTAGAACATTGACTTCCATTAACTTTCTTTTAGATACTCTTGATTGTGAAGCTTTGCATACTGGTGAGAGTTCTACAGGGAAAAAAGTATAAAAATAGGAATTATTAAAGTAATTTTCTTATTGTTAATTACAGACATTTAGATCATCACAAACTATGGGATCCCAATGAATTTGCAGTTCACTGCTTTAAAATTATAATGTACTCCATTCAGGTCAGTAATTTTGGTTCTATGTTGATAAGCATAGCATCAGAGATATAGAACACTGTAGGACAGCAATTTTCAACCAATGTGCCACAAGAATTTTTAAAATGTGCAATACCTGACTGTTAAGTCAGCGGCACTGACCTCTTCTTTCCTCTGAGATTGTCAGATAAAAAAATGACAACAGCCAGCATAGCAATAGCTGTTCGGTGTGAATGAATCAAAATTATGCCATTTTTTGTCAGATTGGCAAAAAATATATTTTTTGTTGTGCCACAGAATTTTAATAATTAGTTTATGTGTGCCATGAGATGAAAAAGGTTGAAAATTGCTGTTCTAAGAAATAAAGCATGTTCTTAATTTAGTTGTCTCACTTATTTTCATTTACCACTTAATCGTTTTTATTTGCCAGCATGGAAAGATATCTGATAAAAAGAATGAAATGATTTTATGATGGTGCTGTTGTGCATTTTATTTAACACAATTGTGTATTTATATTTCACTGATAAACTAGTATTGGAATTGGTATTTATTACAGCAACATATAGCTGATAATAATAATTACCATTTATTGAGTATTTACTATGCAAAAGTGCATGTGTTAAGTCCTCTCTTTATAGATCCCTGTGCTGAGACACTCCTATCTACTACAGAGGACCACCCTGCTTTACCTCGAAACCAGAACAGATCATGTCAGGATTTATATCCTACATGTGCTGTTTACCACATTTATGCTTTTATAGACTTATGTCCCAGTATCATTCACTGTGATTGATCAAATTTATTTATATGTGATAAATTTGCCCTTGTAAATTGCAAATCTCATATCTTCTTGATTTAAATTAAATTTCATCAGGTACACATTGATAAAATTTTCATTTGATAATGGCCCTTGATTAAATGAAAATTTTGACTGTTTAGCATTGTTAGGTGTTCACAATAAGAAGTAGTATTTATATAGTTTGGGTAGGAGAGAAGTACTGTAAATGTCATATCTGTTTGTTTTTTAACAACGTTTTATTCTGTTACCAAGTTGTAAGAGTATATAAATGTTCTTTATGAAATGACAAAAAAATGTAAAGAGAATAAAAATTTCTTGTGAATTCCCCTATCAGAAATGCTCAGCATTAATATTTGGGTATATATAATTCTAGTCTTTTATACTTCTAAAAATCCAGATTGAATTTTATTACACCTAATTTTTTGCAACTTTTTCCACTCATGGTATAAATATTTTCCAGTATCTCTATTTATTCTTAAATGGAATGATTTTTAATGACCGCATATTGTTCCACAACATAAGTATGGCTCCTGTAATTGGAAGTTTAAGTGTCACATGGTCTTTCATTCCTATGAATTCTGCTGGGGTGCATATAACTCATACATCTTTGTGTTATTTTGTTTCTTTTAGGCTCAGTATTCTCACCATGTGATCCAGGAGATTCTAGGGCACCTTGATGCTCGTAAAAAAGAATCTCCACGGGTTCGAGCAGGTATTATTCAGGTTCTGTTAGAGGCTGTCGCCATTGCTGCTAAAGGTTCAATAGGTGAGTGCTAGCAAAAAAATAAAAACCAATTACTGCCTTAATCTATTTCAGAATGTTTTTCAGTAGATATAGCAGTGTATGGAAAATTCTCAGAAAATATTTCTAACATTTTTAAATGTGCTGTAGTTTTTCTTGAAATTTTTGATTCACATGGTTATTCTCAGACTTCCTTAGTGTACAATTAATGAAGCAATTTCTTTCAAATTAATCTCTCCTTCCCTTTTTTCTAATAAAGATTTTTGGATACCAATTATATGATAAAAGATTTGGGAGGATACAGATATAAGAAACTTACAGTTTACTTGGAGTTAAACAACTCTACCTAATACTGGAATAAAAGGCAAAATTTGATCACATACAAGAAAATCAGGGTCAGAGAAGGGGGAGGAAATGAATTAGCAAGAGAAAATATTTTGCAGCCTGTTCGGCTATAATGTGTGGTTGTGCAGAGGAAGTCAGAGAAGTGGCTTTCAAGTTCAAGTTGTGGCCAAATCGTGGGTGTAATTTTGCAGTTAATTGACACTCTTTAAAGATTTACTGTAATCTTTGTCAGAGATGTGTTTTAGGATAACACATCTGGCTGCAAAGTGTAGGACACATTAGATATAGCAGGTGGTTATCACTGTGGTAGGCATGAGGGAAGGAACTTGACGTTGGATGGCAGCAGTCAGAAGGTCAGGTCAGCAGAACTTCCTGACTGACTATAGGGATACGGAAAAGGGACAGGTAAGAGGTCATGATGTTTCTTACCTACCTGTGATTAGAAGAATGGAAGGGGCCTTCACAAAATTCCTGACATTAGAAGGAGAATCTGGTTATATTTTTTTGCTTCAAAATCAAAGTGGAAATATTCTACTGATACGTTCTGACATTCATCCAATGTCATATAAGTGTCGGCATTTTGTATATGGATTCTTTATTACTTATAACTTATCTCAAAGAAATGGAAGCAGGTTGTATCATTGGAAAGTTACTTAATTTGAAATACGAAATGAAATACAGATAAAAATGTGTGTTACATGTGGGGTACCATGTACTGGGCTTGGTACATTCCAAGGGCTGTTTGAATGTTTCTGTCTAGTTATTGAGACAAATCCTTCCTTCTTCAGCCTCAGGAGATGCAAAATAAATTTCTTATGCTACAATGAGGTATATTATCATAATTTTGTGGATTCTGATCCAACAGTCAAGTTAAATGTCCCCATACACATTATTTTGAGTGGACAAGATTAAATAGGAGGGAAGTTTTTTGAAATCTTCATATGTATATACACATTTTGCGTGGGTTAGACAGTGATTCAGACAGCTGCTTAGAGATGCCAGCAAATGCTTGTTGGAATAACTGGGAGACTTTATTTAGGTATTTCTTATTTACTTTTTTAATGAACTAGTTAGTTCATAAATTAGTATTTCCAACTTCTTAGAACATATGCAGAACTCTCTTTTGAAGAATTTGAGAGTTGGTTTTGAGTAGACAGTCCTGGGAAGGTGTGCTTGCTCACCTCAGTGACCACTTACAGGACCCACGGTGCTGGAAGTCTTCAACACACTACTGAAACACCTGCGTCTCAGTGTGGAATTTGAAGCAAACGATGTACAGGTGGGATCTGCAGCCAGTGCCAGCTTAAATTCAAGTTCTAAAGACAATGATGAGAAGATTGTGCAGAACGCCATCATCCAAACAATAGGTGAGTGCATTTCCCTTTTCCAAACTATTATGTAAAACTGGTTACAAAAGCTGTCACAGAAGGTACTTGACTCCTATACTACATCTGTCAAAGGTCAATGACGTAAACATAAGAATAGGACAAAACACTGTATACCCTCCACCCAGATTCATCTATTAACATCTTATGCCATTTATGCGATTATTTACTTTCTCCCTCCATTTCTCTGTGTGTGCATGTATGTGTGTATATGTCTATATACATATATGTGCATATATAAATATGTACATACACACAGAGAAAGATAGATGCATGCATCATACATCTGTGTTTTTCTCCCTAAACCACTGAATTGTGAGTGCGTATACACCATGGCTCTTTACCACAGAGTACTTTTCCAAAAGATAAAGATATTTTCTGGCATAACCAGAGTATAGCTTTCAACATCAGTGAATTTAACGTTGATACAGTTTTTATATTTCAGTTTTTTCATTTGACCTAATAATACCTTTATAGCATATTTTGCCTTAGGCCTCTGGTCCAGTCTAGGGTCATATATTGCATTAAGCTATAATAATTCTTTAGTGCGAACATTCTGTTATGATATGAGCATTATTTAAGAGTACACCCCCCTTTTTTAATTTCCTCATGTGGTTTAGTCTGGTGTTTCTTCATGGTTAAATTCAGGTTATATATTCCTGTCTGGATACTACATAAGTGAAAATGTTCTCAGAGTATCACAGAGAGGCACCCAGTGTACGTTTGCTTCTTATTAATGATGTTAATTTTAATCACTCAAAGTGTTGTTCTGTTTCTCAGCTGTACAGTGTCCATTTTTCCTCTTGTAAATAATAAGCAGTCTCTGAAAAGATACTTTTAGACCAGGCAGGTATTCTGCTGTTCATCTGAACTTCCCCTAGATTTAGCAACCATTCATAATTCTTACCCACGATGGTTGCAGAATGATGGTTTTAACACTCAGCACTCCCTTCCAGCTCTCAATTGGCACTCAGTGTTCTGCTATAAGCAAGAGCCTGTGTACATACATGTAGGAACACATACATTCATCTATTATTGGTATGAACTCATGGATTTGTATTTTCATGCTTCATAATTCATTCTGTACTTAATATTTGTTATTCTTCTGGTGCCGAAATTTTCCCAGACTTGGCCAGTAGGAGCCCCTGCAAGCCGTCTTCTCTGTCTTTGTAACACCCCTCCCCACCTTTCTTTTGAGCAGAGCCTTACTTGTGTAAGCTGTTCCAGGCTCACTTTACAGTTCCTGCCCCAGCCCTGAGTCAGTCCTTTCTCCAGGAGCTGGGGTTCCTTTAGTGGGGAATGGTATTGGAGAATAAGATCTGGGGATTGATCCTTTGGACTTTAATATCATAGGGTTGGTTTTTTTTAAACACAGTTATCAAAGTATAAAGGATAAAAAGGTAAAGAGCTTCCTTTAAAAAAAGCCATGGGATGGATGTGGGGTGGAGGGGATCAGTGAGGTTAAAAGGGGGACATCTGTAATGGTCTCAACAATAAAGATAAAGAAACGTTTAAAAAAAAAAAAAGGCTTACAAGTATAGAGCTCACAGGATTTAGCTGAAATACCATCAAGAGCCCTTAGAGTGTAGGAATCAAGAACATAGTATCTAGATCCTTGATTTGAATCCAGATTCCATCTCTTGCTTACTAGGTAACTTTGTACAAAAGTCTGAATTCCCTGAGCATACATTCTCTTACCTATAAACTGAGTAAACAATAAGTTATAAAATTATAAAGATTAATTGAGCTAATAAATGTAAAGTACTTAAAATAACTGGAAGGGAATAATTGCCACATGGTATTTATTATCATTTTGCTAATCTGTATTACTTAAATTTTCTAGTCTAAGCATATATTTATTTTGTGAAAATAAAAATAAAACTATTACATATATATATATTTTTAAATATATCTTTATTGATTTCAGAGAGAGGAGGGGAGAGGGAGAGAAAGATAGAAACATCAATGATGAAAGAGTCATCAATCGTCTGCCTCCTGTACACCCCCGACTGGGGATCGAGCCCGCAACCCGGGCATGTGCCCTGACCAGGAATCGAACCCCAGTTGCCTGGATCCTAGGTAGATGCTTAACTGCTGAGCCATGCCTGGCCGGGCATATATTTTTAAAACTTCTAAAATGTTTCTGATTACTTATAATGTAGAAAAACATAGCTTTCCAGAAGAACAGTGTTTAATGTAGAAGTCATATATAAATTTATTTTACAAATGCTGGAATGCCATAATTTTTAATAAGTTTAAAGCTCATTACTTTAAGTCTTCATTGGTCAAGTTTTTATTTATGAGTTAGAGTTTTCCCTAGAACAATTAGCCTCTATTCCCAAGACTTTATATCTAAGACTATGATCTTTCTTTTCCCATTGGGAAGATGGGTAAGGGTATTACTGCTTTCTTCTATCCACCATTCTTGTTAATCAATATGACCCTACAAAAGAATTATGTCTACAGTTAACAATACACAACTCACTGTATTAAACTCACCAAGCTTAACCTGTTATTTTTGGAAATAAATGTTTACAAGTTGGTTTATAAAGAACAAAAACAAAATGGTAAAATAAAATAAAAAAGCCATGAGAATATTTTGGGAAATGACCTGACTGTATATAAACATAAAGCAAGCAAACTCTTTTTCTACCCTCCCCCCCTCCGAACAGTTTTTCAGAATGTGTAGATCATACTTGAATGCAACTACATGATAATGATAATTTCGAAATTATGTTGTCTTTCTGAGGTTTGGTATCTAATTTCTAGTGGTTACTAACAGTTTCTCTCATAATAGAGTCAAATATCAATTTATTCTGGAGCTCAGTCTATGCCTTTTACCTGGGTAATTTTCCTGCCTGCAAGCTACTTGTTTATAATAGTCCTTTGGAATATTTAATACAGAGTTTCTCTTTGTCATCGTTCCTGAAGTTTCATGGATGTGCACACAGGCCTTGTGCATCCGCATCCTACACCTAATTACTGAATGTGAACGCACATCCTGCCCTGTGGCAGGGTTTCATATGCACATGGCTCTCGCCTTGCGGAAGCATTTGGTTGATCTGCTTGGTGCAGTACCTCTTTTTTACCTGGTTACATTCTCATCATGTGCATAGAAATTGCCCTTATGACAGCAGAGGCCCATGTACATCTTATTCAACACACGTAGTAGGGGCTTAAGATTTTTGGGAATGCCTGAAAAGGAAAAACATGGTAAAGTTCAGTATTACCGTGGAATCTCAATAAAGCAAGACATTCTAGTTATTGCTTAAAACAATTAGTGTCCGTGTGTGGTAAACCTAGCTTTTATGGTGACTTTTAAATTTGTTTTCATTATTTATGGATTTTCAGTGATATTAAGATGGTGTATCAAATCAACTCAGCTCATTTTCAGAGTCAATATAAATTGCTTTTTTGACTTCTAGTTAATTCAGGGTTACTGATTCACTTTAGAATGTTTAATTTATTGTTTCTCAGGTATTTTATTATAAAACATACACAGCAGACTCAAGCAATATTTCTGTGACATAACACATTCAGAAATAACATGTGAAAATTAAAACATGACAGAGCCCAGCCGGGCGTGGCTCAGCGGTTGAGCGTTGACCTAGGATCCAGGCGATTGGGGTTCGATTCCTGGTCAGGGCACATGCCCGGGTTGCAGGCTGCAGCCGATCAGTGACTCTCTCATCATTGATGTTTCTATCTCTCTCTCCCCCTCCTTTCCTCTCTCTGAAATCAATAAAGATACATTTAAAAAAACAAAACAACATGACAGAAAAGAAAATGCAATGTAGCACAGAGAGTAAGATATTTGTTAAACCACACTTCTGATTTCCTCAGTATTTCCTTGTCGAAGTTCTTAGATCCTGGTAGTGAGCAGGTGAGGTGGATATTCCTGGTGGTAGGCCATAGAACAGGGATGCTGTGGCTTTTGCACTTGAAGTTATGAAGCTGTTGGCCAAGTTCTTTTGTTTAAAATAACCAAGAACGTAGCTAGCTCCCTGCTGTGTTTTTTTGGGGGGGTCATTAGCATTTTTATTCAGCAGTTCCAGTACAAACAGTGGGTCTAGAGAATGAATTACTTTCAGGACTGTCCTCACAGTGGGTCATGTTGGAGACTTTATGTCCTGGTCATACCAACAGACTCACTTGGAACAGAAAAGCAGTGTCTAGTTTTGTATGCTAATTAGAAACACTTCTAATTGGGTTCTTGAAAAGTTAAAAGTACCTTATAAGGAGGAAGTAGAGAGTAACAATGGCATAAGACTTGGAAATGAGTAGAAGCCCTCATCTCAGGCCTTAATATTAGCTGTGTAGTTTCTTGTATGAGTTCTCAACCTCTCTTTTCCTCACTCTCACAAACTGAGGCTAATAATAATAGTACCTGGTCTCATAAAGTTGTTGTGAGGTCCAAATACAAAGTAGCTTATTTCCCTAGAAATATGTGCTCCTTAATTGTTAGCTAGAATAATACATTATATGCAGATTGAGTAATATTAAGATCATGAGATTTTTATTGCTGAAGTATGTGATAACGGGCAATGATTTTTAAGCTCATGCCCAATCAAAATCATGAGTAGAACAATTTGATTTTGTATAAGTAGATTATTATTAACTCCAATAATAGAAGCTGAAGAGCTAATTTATTCTTAGAGAAATACTACAAGTAAGAAAGTTTCTGTAATGATTATATTACATTTTAAGATATGAACAAAAACAGCCATGATTTGATATGTGTTCTAATCTTTCAAAGGAACAACAAAGTTTGAAGTTTGAGTGTTAATTAAATGTAAATACTTTATGACCAGGCAGTAAACCTTCAAAAGCTATAGCAGGTAAATTTAAAATATCACAAAACCCAAGAATGCATAAGAAAAATGACAAGTAAATAAGTTATTATTTTTTAACAACAGCTGAATTATGTATGTTGAATTAACTCACAGAGTTAAACTGTAACCTTGGCCCATTGTAATAACATTCTAATACATTTAATAGTCCTAGGAAGCCAAAGTAATGACCTAATAACTTCTTTACCCAAGTGTGTCCTCATTACTGACTTCCTTACCAGAATAAGAATGTAGGCTCACAGTATATGAACAAGAGTTTCATCAGAAATATTACCAAAAGGTGTTTTTTTCTTTTTGTAAAACTCTAATTCAAATTGATGATGGTTTGCCACTGTTAACTATATGCAAAAGACTTAGTCCATTATATAAATCTTATATTGTATATGATTAAATGATTTTGATTAAATGAAATTATAATATCATTAGAGTTTAAAGACATTGTTTTACCACATATTGAAAGATTTGGTTAAAAATATAATTTTTTATTATATGGAAAAATAAACTTTTTGATTTGTAAAATTTATCTTAATATTTTTATAGGGTTTTTTGGAAGTAACCTACCAGATTATCAGAGGTCGGAAATCATGATGTTCATTATGGGGAAAGTACCAGTTTTTGGAACGTCCACCCATACTTTGGATGTCAGTCAGCTAGGGTATGCATATGTAGTTCTCCAACTATAAATTTCAATTTATTCTTGGTTTAATTTCATTTTAAAGAAATCTAGAAAATGTATTGTTTCTTTATTCACTAGTAATAAAAATCCTATGGAAATACTAAATCCTAGTATTTTTATGGTACTAGATTGCTAAACAATTGAATCAGTTTTGTGTGCTTTTAGAATCAGTTTTCAGTATATGATAAATTCTCTAATTTTCTGTGTCTTCTATTGACCAGGTGGAAGGTTTGTTTAGCCTGGGTATTGCCTATATAGTATTTAGGGTAAAGCTTCAAGTTTTGGTAAAAATTGAATATTTAATGTTGGTTAGCAGGAATGTTCACTTACTCCTAGAACTGAAAGTGGTTTTAAAGATCATATGTTTTGGTCCCTTCATTTTATAGATTTGATTTGATTTTACAACATGCTAAAGCTTTAAGTTTGTGAATATTTTTGTGTTTTTTGCTACTTTACTAAGGTAATAATAGTCTTATTTTATTTCTATTCCTTTGACCATTAGATAACCCTTTTTCCACTTGTTATTTTTAGAATCATCTGTTTTTACCTCTTTAAATAGATATATTAGTCAGTTATATTTACAGTAAATATATTCCCCAACTTACAGTATCTTTTGTGTTTTGTTATGCATTCATATAATTTAATTTTCATGTCATTACATGCATAGGTCTGTTTCCTTTGAGAGCCAATAACTTTTTAACATTTTTGTTTGAATTTGATTCTTTAACATATAACTTTAATTTATATTAAATTTAGAGTATAAAGTGAGCCACGACTTAGCTATTATTAAAGTGAAATCTATTTAGCCAATATGAATAGAGTTTTAAAATCAGTAATTAATGAAATGAAGTAATATAAATGTTAATTACTATTAATAAGATAATGCTAGTATGTTGTATGTTTTAGGGATTTGGGAACCAGGCGGATTCAGATAATGTTGCTGAGATCTTTACTTATGGTAAGACATTTAAGACAAGTGAACACACTTATCCTTAAATTACTGAGGTGAAAAGAACAGCTTCACATTTTGAGTCTCTTTTTCTTGTACAGTCAGGTACTGTTTATGGTTAGCTTTTTTCTGTGGTTTATATAATTAAGTATTATGCTTTTATTTTATTTTGTTATGTTTTTACTATTTGTTCCTTCTCCTGTCATTTTATTTGACACACATAATGATGAAACATACAGAGGCCAGAAAGTATTGCCGTTTGATAGATGAAGATGCCTGGGCTCAGAGACTTTGTGGAAAAGGTTCACCAAGGTCACGGAGCTAAAGAATAGAACTTGGACTTGAAATCCAGTGTTCTGTCTACATATCATGCTATTCTTTCACTTACCAAATAATGACTTCTTGTTTGGAAAATAATTCAGTTATAAGTAGCTGAAAAGGAAAAGCATACCTAAAATGTGAGGTCCTGTTTTTATTTTATGGTAATTATATGCATCTTTGATTCAGCTACACCTAGCATAATGCCAAACAAATAGGAGCTTATTGTTTGAAATGTGCCCTTTCCATGTCAGGACTTTCAAAATTTATTCTGAACATCTTTATTGTACATAATTTCATTTTTGAAAAGAAATGTTTCATACCTAGGGAGAAATACAGAAATACCTTATGTGATTTATCCTGTTTATGGTGCTTGTCATAAAGAAATTTTAAATTCTAATATAGCCAGATTTATCACTTCATTCCTATGTGTTTTGTTCTTTTTTATTTGTATCATGTTTAAGAACTCCTTGCCTTTTTTGATTATATAAGCACATTTGTTTATATTTTCTTAAAAAAGTTTTTAAGATTTGACTTTCTACATCTAGAACTTTGATCTGAAGATTATTTTTGTATGCGGTGTGAGATATGGATATATTTTTAATTTTTAGGTGGGTAGCAATTGTCCTCTCAATTTCTTTGTTCACTTATAAGGCCATCTCCATCCTATAATATGTGCCCAAATATAAATATTAGATGTTCCAAATGTAAATATAAATTGAAGTTACCATCTGAAATTTCATCTGGTCGTGGTTTTTATTAGATTCCCTGAGTAAATCACCTTGACCTAATCCTGATTGTACCACATAGTCAACTGAAAGAAGGTCTGTGTGGTGTGGTTAAAATGTTTAGCAGCATTTAAGTATATGCTCTTTAGAAGCTTAAAATTTAGAATATAGAGATACACTCAGAAATGTCAAATCAGCCTGGCTGGGCATGGCTCAGCAGTTGAGTGTCAACCCAGGATCCAGGCGATCGGGATTCGATTCCTGGTCAGGGCACATGCCCGGGTTGTGGGCTAGACAGCTGATCAATGATTCTCTCATCATTGATGTTTCTCTCTCTCTCTCTCTCTCTCTCTCCCTCTCCTTTCCTGTCTCTGAAATCAATACAGATATATTTTAAAAAATAAAGTTTTTCTTTAAAAAAAAAAAAATGTCAAATCAAGTACCTGATAAACTAGTTTTCCAAACTGAAAATGTATTCCTGTTAACCTAAACTGCTTAATTTAAAAGAAAATAATAATTTACAAATTTAAATTCACCATTTTCAGCTCTCCTTATACCATTTGCTACCTAAGCTCCTTATATCCATTTAGTACTGACTACCTATCCCGTATATTCTTAACCTCTCTGACCCTCAGTTTTCTCGTATAAAGTGGGGATGCACACACCTACCTCTCAGGGATGTGGGGAGGGTGCAGTTTGTGCACATGTAGTGCTTAGATCCCTGCCTGGCACATGGGAAATGTGAGCTGTCGTTAAGTTTATTCTCCTTGCAAATGATGTTTTTGTAAATTAAGTAAAATCTTCATCAACTTACAAAATGCTTTTTTGTTTTTTCTTCAGGCTTATGTCCATACTTGTTGTTCCCCTTAGTTTATGGCTTTCATAAAACAGTTTGAGAATTTTACCAAAGAAGGATTCACGAGAAAGGTTTTTTATTTGTTTCTTTGCTCTTCCTCCCCATAATTAGGTCACCTCTGGATACAAAGCCAAGACAATTGTTACTGCACTGCCTGGGTCTTTCCTGGATCCTCTGTTGTCACCGTCCCTCATGGAAGACTATGAACTGAGACAATTAGTCTTGGAAGTGATGCATAATCTTATGGATCGCCATGACAACAGGGCGAAGCTTCGAGGGATCAGGTAGTGCACCATCTTGAAATAGACTTGATGTTTTTCAGTTTCTTCATTCATGTATTTGAGTGTTGTGATTTCTTTTAATCTAGGATTTTCAGGTTTTATTAATCCAGAGTTTTATTTAATTGATATCGAGACTATTTAATTATTAATGTAGTTTAAATAACTTTTTAAAAAATATGTTTTTATTGATTTCAGAGAGAGGAAGGGAGAAGGAGAGAGAGAGAAACATCAGTTATGAGAGAGGGTCATTGATTGGCTGCCTCCTGCAGGCCCCCTACTGGGGATCGAGCCTGCAACCCAGGCATCTGCCCTGACCAGACTGGGAATCGAACTCTGACCTCTTGGTTCATAGGTTGACACTCAGCCACTAAGCTACACCAGCCGGGCTTAATATAATTTAAGATAGCAAATGTTTGGCAGTCTTTTCAAAGATCTCAGCCACTAGTGGTCACTAGGTCTATGAATTTTTTTTTGGTTTTGCTTTAAACGTAGAAATGGCATTAGGAGTCAAGATTACTTTATTAAATTCTTAATTAAATTTGCTAATTCAGTGGTATCATTACATATAGGCTTACTTAACATGCTTATTGATATGAGTATTATATAGTTCAAACTCCTAAGTATAGCTATTGATTTGCCACGTAAGACATGATATAACTAAATGTGCTGTTCATTAAGAATGATACATTGATTATCTCTAGAATAATACCTGATGTAGCTGACCTAAAGATCAAAAGAGAAAAAATTTGTAGACAAGACACAAGTTTCATGAAAAAGGTAAGATTTATCTTCTAAAAAATAATACATGATATAAGTTAAAGCCATTTGAATAGTTAGGTAGTTTTATATTTAAGACATATGATCTTGAAATGAAGCCATACTTTATTAATATACTTACGTCAGTTTGGTTTAAGGGGAAACTGTGCAATCCCTGGGAAGTTTCTGTAACCTCTCCCCGATATCTCAGCTTTAGACTTGCCTTTGGGGACTTCATGCCAGCTTTTAGCAGAACCTGCAGGAGCTCTTCCCTGGATGAGCCCTAACACGCCTCACAGGAGACTCTTAAGACAAAGAAGCCTTAGCACGTTCCCCCTCGGCCAGGTTTCCCCCATCATTGCCAAGGCTCCCATGATTCTGCCATTCATTTTAGTTTTTTCTCCTATCAATCTACAATTTGCTTTTGTCTTTTCACATTATTACTAAAAACATTTTCATTGTTGACACTAGAACTACTTCTTGCTGTTTTTATTGAAGGCTTGTTCTTCAGCTCTAATGTTAGTTTGTAGTTTTATGCTGGTATATTTGTTGATGATAATGATGGCAATACAATTTGATCATTTGATTATCAGTTTAAATTTCTCTTCCATGGTAAGTTACGTACTAAGATAGCTATTTTGTAGGGGGTTATATGCCTGTGAAATCTGCCTTTACTACAGTTTAAGCAAACTTATCTTTTTCTTCTGTCATTACCCTTTTCAGAATGGGCAGCAACTATATCGGCACATATATTTGGGCTGTAAAGAGGAAGACAATGTTCAGAAAAACTATGAGTTACTTTATACTTCTCTTGCTCTTATGACAATTGAATTGGCCAATGAAGAAGTGGTTATTGATCTCATTCGCTTAGCCATTGCTTTACAGGTATGCTTTCATAGCCTTTCCTTGAAGAAAACATTTTTATATGAAATAGACACCGTCTTTTTAAAAAATATATCTTTATTGATTTCAGAGAGAGGAAGGGAGAGGTGAGAGAGATAGAAACATCAATGATCAGAGTCATTGGTCAGCTGACTCCCACACGCCCCCTACTGGGGATTGAGCCCACAACCCAGGCATGTGCCCTGACCAGGAATTGAACCTCGATCTCCTGGATCCTAGGGAAATAGACACCATCTTTAAAGTGTTGTTGCCTTTATCCCAGGACATGAATTTTAAAGGGGAGATAACTGGCTTTAAATCTAAAATACTCAAGACAATGACCGTAGTCATTTTTTTTTTTTAATAAATGTTGAATGAGCATTTGACTGTTTGCTAAATATTGTTCAAGGCCCTAGGAAAATACTGTGACAGCGTGGTCTCTGTGCTCATACTTGGAGTTTAGTGGAAGATAGTCATTAAATAATATAGTTGTTTGGTTGGGGTTTAAGTGTTACATAATGAAAGGACAGTATGTAGTGAGAATATGTATATATCATGTGTATATCAGAGAGAGATATATATTTAATATATATGTACTTTTTTTTCCTTAGGAAAGGCTATTTAATTGAGAGCTTTTACTCTCCTGTAAATGGCATTTACTCTCAGAATTTTTAAAAAATAACTTCTTTATGAGGTGACATTTTGTTAGCATTCCAAACTGCCTGCAGTTTTTCAGTGCAAGCGTGGGGGAGACATGACTGGAGCCTAAGACCTTGTGCTGTGCTTGCTTGTGTTCAAGGATAGTGCTATTATCAACGAGGACAACTTGCCCATGTTCCATCGCTGTGGAATCATGGCACTGGTGGCTGCGTACCTCAACTTCGTCAGCCAGATGATAGCTGTCCCTGCATTTTGCCAGCATGTTACCAAGGTAAGGGATTTATAAAAATTCCTCAATTTGATTTGTATACAAAATGCCTAATTTTCTTTCAGTGATGGTTTGTTTCACTTGTGATGTTTATGTATCAAATTAAGTTAATTCCATAAAAGTATGCAGTGACTAAATTGAAACTACAGCTAAAACTACAGCTAGTATTTATATTTTCTTTGAGGCCTATTGTTTGGTTAGAATTTTTTTATGTAGTGGTTGAATAGAATACTTGATTTTTTTTCTAGAATACTTTGTGTGATTTCTTACATAATTTTTTCCTTTAAACAATTATGAATCTTAGTATCTAAATTTCCTTAAATTATACCATTTTTGTTATTGTTAGTTTTCAACCAATCTACTTGAGTTGAAAAATGAATGTGCCTCTCAGAGATTTGTTCTGAGTCATTCAACTGTATTAGGTTTTTCAGCAGTAACTCATTAAATAATTAATTGAATGGTTTAATAACATTTCAGGGAAACCTTATTTTATGGAATTGAGAGCACATTTCTCAGTCCTTGTTGAAATGTTGGATTTTAGTGCATTCTAAGAAATAAAACTCCTTCGTTTACTAAGCAAGTGTTTGAGTGAACATTTGATGCCTGCCATTAGAGACAAAGATGAGGAAAACAGAGTACTCCATTAGGTTGCTCACAGTTGAGTGGAGGAGCCAGACCACGTGTGCATTGAGACTTCACCCACAGGATGCAGCAGGAGCTCAGGAGGGGCATGCTGAGGGCCTGTGCATCTGAAAAATACTGTTCTTACCCCTGTGTAATGGGCTTAATCAGATGTATCTTTATTTTTTACTACATATATTACTATATTGTCATCATGTTGTTAACTAATGAATTTTGAAAGCAACCAATATAAAAACAGAACGAACTCTCTCCGTGTGGGCTATAAACATAGTTTAAATTCCAAAATAAAGCTATGGTTGTTCTTATAAATGTTTAGTTATTTTTTCTGTTTTTTTAGTTTCCCCCATTTTCATAGCAAGGTCCTGAGAAGTGAGGTTGTTGATCTTTGTTTTGTATTGTTTTTGGATATTTTTCAGGTTATTGAAATTCGGACGATGGAAGCCCCTTATTTTCTGCCAGAGCATATTTTCAGAGATAAGTGCACGTATGTCAGTCCTTCACATTTTAAGGATGGGCACCGATGAGAAACCAATCAGTAATGATTCTAAAGGAATAAGCCATCATTAGAATGATTTTCTGGTCTTTTATAATGATCATGTTTTGTGTTTCTGTTGTTTAATTCATCTTCTTTCTCTCGCTGTAGAAGTTCTTATATGTGATAAGTATAGGCTTATCCCTTTTTATCAGATCAATCTGATAAAAAAAATATCTTTTTAATATGGAGATATCTCTCTTAAATATAGCATGTTCTCATATAAATGAACAGTCCTTTAGGAGAATATAATATCCTGTTCAAGACTTTCGGTAAATAGATAACAATACTCATAAAATTGTGAGAGAAAGAATGTATTAGGGAAATTAATAATTTATACCCTGCATTCTTTCTTGCTACCCAAACAACAACAACAAAAAATGAACAATGTATTCCTGCCATTTTTGGGCTCTGAAAGTGGTTTACTATTGAAAGCATCAGCATAAGATAAAATCAAGCAGTTTGAAAGTGAAACTTCGATTGGGCAACTGCTTCCTGTCACTTAGCTGGCTGGTGCGCTTTTTCATTAACTAGCATAAACTGCATTTGTATTTTCTTCTCTCAGTAGATTTTTAATTCCTAGGGGAAAGTGAAAGCTGAATGTAGTCCTCTTTATCATTTAACGTGAATACCAACAGAATAATATGATGCTTACCTCACCACTCACCATCTGAATGCTACTCACAGTGGAATGGTTAATAGAGGGACCACATACCTTGTGCTTGTAAAGAGCCCAAATTAGTCCTCTAAAATTACTATGTCCATTACTAATTACAGTTTATTTATAATAGTTAGGCTTTGACCTAGAATGTTTGCATGTTTACTTATTTTTCTTGGTAATTTAAATAGCATTGAATGACTTTTGTTTGATCAACCTGACAGGCTTCCAAAATCTTTGGAGAAGCATGACAAAAATTTGTACTTTTTGACCAACAAGATTGCTGAGTCACTAGGTGGAAGTGGCTATAGTGTTGAGAAACTGTCAGTGCCATATGTACCACAAGTCACAGGTAAGAGGAGGGTGATTAGACTCTTGTTCTAATGATATGTTTCAATAATTTTTCCATGCTCAGTTAGCAATGACAATTAATTGCTTGTGTACTTACTATACCACAGCTTTTTCAGATGTTTAAGGGTGTTTACTTATATTTTTAAATTTCCCTTTTGAAAATTGTTAGTAAATCTCTAAAGGTATATAGAGGGGTGGGCAAAAGTAGGTTTATAGTTGTGAGTATGCTAAATAATTTATTCTTGTATTATTATTTATTATTGTATTTATTATTATTAACCTACTTTTGCCCATTCCTGTATATGATTTTATTATGAACAAATTGAGTCTTCAAGTGATTATCATTGTCATACTAAATAATAATACACTTCAAACAAGGAAAGTGCAATCTTTCCTTATTAACCAATATTTAACTTACGGAAATCGGTGAACATTGTTTTATTGGTTGATTGTGTTTATTGAGCTTAATGAATTAGGCAACTTTTGTCACTCGAAGGAGTGCAGATCATTTGCTGTGCAAAGAAATCTTCAAACTTTTGAAGTTAAGAATATGTTTTCCTGTATGCACTATATATTTCCTTCTGTGCTTTTCATGGACCGCAGTAATTCTGTTGTGTTTCAGGGTAAAACTGCTGGTGTCTTACATTCAGTTTTTACTTTAGAAACTAAAACAATGTCTCCTGCCTTCATTTTCACTCTGCGATTGTGTAAATATAAAATTTGGTAGAACTAGTTCTTCCTTTGGGGATATCTCTGTTGTATGAGAGAACTGTTTGATTTCAGTTAGGTGGTTTATGTAATAATCACTGAAAGCAGCGCAATCTTTGTAAATACCTATCTTTTTTATAATGTGGATCTAAAATATATACTTTTTTTACAGTGATAGTTGTTTATAATAGTCTGAGATGTTAATGAATTCTTTTGCATTTTATTTTAAATTCTGTACTATAAAAGATTTTATTCATGAATTCCTAGGGGAAATAAAAATGTTAAGAGTAAAACTTTAGTAAAGGATTATAATTCTAAAGACTTTTAAAATATTTCATTCTTATAATTTGGATTTAGCTCTTTTTCCTTCAGGCAAAAAACCTCATAAGCCCAGGCACAAGTCCAAAGGTAAATCCAATGTCAACCTGGCTGGCCCTTTCCCTCCCTGTCCTCTAGGAAAATAGCTTAATAAAATGTGCCTTTTAGTAAATGGAGCCAGTGCCTGTATATTTTATATACTTACAAGTTCAGTTATTATTTTGCTCTGCCTTCCTCATAGCTATAGTTTATTTCCACTGCTTATTTCCTTTGACCCTGATCCTTTAACTCTTAACAATTTTTAGTAAACATTCTGATGCTTTTTTAACAGGAGGTTTGCTCTTTCCCATTTTTTCCACTCCTGAAAAAGATGTATTCCCTTTCTTATGCCTCTTTATCACTGACTGGAAGAATCTGGATATTTCCATATTTGAATATATAACTGCAGAGAAATCTCTTAGTCAGAGTAAGATTTCTCTGACTTATTAAGACTGGGGTGTTTAGAGCAGTTCATGTGCATGTGCCCTGATGCAGTGATAGATACTTCATGGGATCATCAGCCAGGCATTATGTTTTTCTTTGGCTGTGTAACATCAGATACTCATTTTGAAAATTAAGGGATATAAGAACATTAAGCTGAAAGAAAAAAGCAAAACACATTGAAGTCATTGTGTGTTGTGCATACGTAGAGATTAGATGTATGTACAGAAGTCGATCTAGGTGTATACACCATGATCAAGATAGCACTGCTGTTTGCTGGGCACGGGCCTTGTGCTGGGCACCGCCCTTTCTGGTCACTTTCTCCTCTAACCTTTTACCTTTGTTTCCAAATGAGGGTAGTGAGGCTGAAACGAAATAAATAATTTGGTTATTTTTATTTCATGATTTTTGGCTTGTTTTTATTCTGTAAATACAGAGGTTGGCAGAAGTAGGTTTACAGTTTATTCTTTTATAATTTACTAATTGTTGTATAATTTATTTGTATTATAACTATAAACCTACTTTTGGCCACCCCTGTATGCATTAATTCTATGGAATTTTGTGTTTTTCTGTAGGACCAAAAAAGTTACCTGTGTGAGTAGTATCAGCATTAAACTAAGACATTCTGAATTTTGTGTAGATAAGTTATTTGTGAAATTCCATTTTTCCTCAGTTAGCTTTTTAATGGATCTCAGGGGTATTGCAGCCCTGGTTACATTTATGATTTATTATTTCCAGTTAAGTCAGTTTCTGTATCTTATTTTTAAATAGCTGTAGAAAGTTATATTGAGTAATCTGTAGTCTGTGCCACGCCTGCACTCAGACTATTTTCTCTATTCCTTTGCCATCTGAATGCAGTTGTTTGCATTACATGTCGTACACCAGGTGGCAACAGAGTATCGCTGGAGGAAGTGAGGCTCAGCTGTCAGTATTGCTTCTGAAATCCAGGCTCCTGTTAACCAGAAGCACTGAGGAGTCCCACTGTACACAGCAGACACAGGAAGGAGGAGGGAGGGGTTGGAAAATGGAAAGGACACAGTAAGCAGTGTCTGGGACTACCCCAGCCCCACTTAGGGAAGGGATGCAAGGGTTGCCCCAGGGGTGTATAGTGAGATACTGAGGTGGCGACAGGGCGTCCTCTGGAGCCAGAGGCAGGGCAGTCACAGAGGGGCGGTGCTGCTGCATTTCAGGAGCAGACAGAGCCGGCTTGTGGGAATGAGCATTATCTCCCATGAGCTCTATTTTAGAAACCTTGTGTTTGTGTAAATGTGCAAGGTATATAGCTGTACCTGGGCTTTTCTTCTGTCACCTGTAAGATGGTGATTATATAGGTCAAAAGAAAAAGTGTTCTGAGAATGTAGTGTTAGGGTTTCCTGTTTAAGTTTATTTTCTTCCCTTTTAAAATTTTGAGGCTTTTTATATGTCTCTCCTCTGTACTTCCCTTCTGTTCTCATTAATTCTTGCCTCCCAGTGATTGCTTTCCTGCCCCATAAGTGTTTTCCTTTTTATCTTAGGTTTCAAGTTGACTCTTTTCTGCAACTCATCAACCTTTGTATGCTAAGCTGGGCATTCTTTTATCCTGGTCTTTGTAAAGCAGGCTATTTATCACTCATTTTGAGTTCTGGGGAGACCTTGGAAGTTGGCCTGCTTAGAGCATACAAGCAAGTCAACAGTGATGACCACATACTCCTTGGTAGCAGTTCTATTAATGTCATTATGTTTGCTAATTTATATCAAAGCACATGATCATGGAGGAGAAACAAAGAATGCAGTGTCTTAGGTGAACTCAGTAGTAGCCACATGTAGTAAAAGAGTAACCTGAAAACTATAGCAGAGCACTGTGTAGTAGCAGTTTATCACATGGAGCATGTGCCTGTTCTGTACCTCCAGCCGTCACAGAGCAGAACCTGAGGGACTCCTGTGTGACAGACACAAAGTACATCAGTCACTGAATTTCTGGTATGGTTGGGGTTTAGTAGAAGGTAGAAAGGTGATAATGACTGAAGGGAAGATCCATCATAACTGGTAGTGAACTTCTGTAGCCAGAAGAAAGAGGGGTAAGTAGAAATAACTGGAGCGATAGTTAAGATTTTTAAGGAAGGGATATGCTCTGGCCTTGAAAGAGTTTCCAGTAGGCTTGATGTCTGTAGGAAGGTGTGGGAGGCAGGGGTGCTGCAGCAGCTCACACATGGGAGAAAGGTACACGGGCTTGACCACCACATCACGTGAGGGCAGTTGAAGTTACTGTTGTAAGATCCTATTTGAGAGGCCAGAACGTCCGCCTTTTTAATTTCATCAAGCAGTGGGTAGAATTGCTTGGGGAGTGATGGGGCCCGTGTTTAAAGCAGCTTATAACATGATGGTGGCATATAGGGAAAATTGTAGAAAGGTCTGTCATCGGTCGGATGGACTGGGTAGCTGGCTCTCAACCAAGGGTGATTTTGCCCGTCCCAGGGGACACTTACCAGTCCTGGAGACATGTTTAGTTATCACCACTGGGACAGGCCTACTGGCATCTGGTAGGTGGAAGCTAGGGATGCTGCTAAACATCCTTCAATACGCAGAACAGCTCCTACAACAACAGTTACCTGGCCTAAAATGCCAGTAGTGCCAAGGTTAAGAAAGCTATCTAAGTTAGGCTGTGATGACAAACAGTCGCAGGTTCTTCTTGGTTTAAAACAGTGAAGATTTACTTGGTGCTCAGACCATGCATGCCTTCGCATCATCCACATCTGGAGTCCAAGCTGATGGAGCAGCCACACTCAGGAACATCGCTCATACTTTATTGTCCAGAACTAGTTACATGCCCCTCCTAACCACAGGCAGGCCAGGAATTGCAATCCTATTGTGTGCCCAGAAAAAGGGTAAACTACCAAATCCCATTAATAGCATTAATTACTAGTATGGAAGGCAACCTGGGAGAAGGGGGTAGCCAGTCAGAGAGCTGGTTTCTTTATCCTTGCCACCTTTTGGTTCTCCATTCTTTTTTTTTAGGTTTTTATTTTTTTCCAATTTTCTTTAATTTTATTTAATTTATCTTTATTTTTTAAAGTATTACAGGTGTCCCTTTTTTTCCCCCTTTGACCCCTCTACCCTGCAACCACAACCTGGAGAAGATTATGCTAAGCGAAGTAAGCCAGGCAGAGAAAGACAAATACCATATGATCTCACTTGTATGTGGAATCGAAAGAATGTAATAAACTGATGAACGGAATAGATTTCAGTGACAGAGAAGCATGGAAGACTGACGAATCTCAGAGGGATGGCTGGGGTGGGGAGAGATTAAACAAGAATTTCTGCTCATCTATGCATAGCCCATGGACACAGACAGTAGTGTGGTTCTTCGTTCTTTACTCTTTCAGTAGAATGAAATCACAGTGTATACAAAATGGGATTAGAAAGATAGAGTGGTGCCAGATTATTAAATAACTACGTCACGAAATTTGTAGGCCTGAGGACACAGTGCTTTTGTATATTTAGAAAAAGCAAAAATGACACACTGTCTTAATTTTATGAAAGTTTTTGAAACCTGAAATATGTAGTTTATAAATGACATGCCATTTCTAACTGGCATATAACAGGGAAATTTTTTTATTTTAGATGAAGATCGACTTTCTAGAAGAAAAAGTATTGTGGACACCGTATCCATCCAGGTGGATATTTTACCCAACAGCATCCATTCTGACGATGTGGTAAGTTGCTGAAACTTTAGGGCACAGTACTGTCTTGAGAGCCACATCAATTTAAAAGAACTTTTGCTCCTCCATGCTTTCAAATAGGGACAAATGCAACTTTAAATTATCCCCAAATCAACAATTTCTATTTAGTAGAGATTAATCTGATTTAGCCTTGACTTGTAATTTATTTTACTAAACTCATTTCAACTATTTATAAAGATACATAAGTGTAATATGTGTATATCATTGTAATTTAGTGTAATAAGAACTGTGAAACAGAACCAAGTAAGATTTTTTTATAAGTAAGAAATGTCACATATGGCCTGTTAATAAATTAAGAGGCCTCTAGATACTATTAAAGATTTATGAAACAAATTACGAGAATAAATGGAATTAGACATTTCACGTGAAGGCAGATGCTCACAACTTTTAGAAAGTTTCAAAACTTCATCTACGAGGGATATTTTTTTATCATTTTAGATAGTAAGTATATGAATGTAATGTAGGTGAAGCTGTCTCAATGACCTGTAAGACTGTGTGACTTACCTGAAACCTCAAAGATTTAATGCTCTCCTCCTGTTTCAATAGAGCACAAGAGTGTACCCTCCTGAGTTATAGGAAGAAAAGCAGCCAGCACTCTCTGGACTTGTTCCACACAATCACCAGAGACTTTTTTGATAGTCGAGTAAAAATGCCGCAAAACCAGCATGTCAAGTCAGCCTCCTCCTTGTGGTCTTTCATTGTTTGCCTTCCTAGGTATCTCATTGTTTCTCATTTGGTACAGTATAAATAATTAAAAGAATATCCATCTAAGAAAAGGGGAAGGAAGTTGTCTGAATTCATGCTTTCTCAGCCTCCTCTCTCCTCCCCATCCCAATCATCGCCAGTGAATTTGTCTTTAGGAATTAAAATGATTTGATGGCCAGGGCACAGTCGACTAACTTACATCTTCTGTGCTGTTCATCTTTCCATTATGTAGAACTAATCAGTTTTATTAAGAAATGGTCGGCAGAGCATCAAGTGGCAGTCAGTGTTCATCGTGGAACTTAGGGCATTGAGATTGGTTGAAAGTTTCTTGCCAATCTAAGGATCCAGAAAAATCATCTTTCCAAAATTCACCTCTTCCAAGCCATTCCAATTTCTGTGCTCCTTACTAGTAAGGAGGGTATCTTGCTAGCTCTGTTTTTTAATTGTTTTCATTTCGGCTCTATTACGTTTAGAGGGAAGAAAATCATCTACATCCTTAATTTATACACTTTACTTTGTCAAGAGTACAGCATATTTTATTGACTGGTATTATTCTACTTTACTTTTGTTAACCATACTTATTTGTTTTAAAGATACAAATAAAGCACTTCAAACTGTTGTAAACAGTCCTTCTTCAGAAAATGAACTGAAAAGACATTTGCATACAGACTTAATGTAGGAGGAAGATTCTCCAACATGAACTTCACATTAAAAGTCCATTAATACATTTGTTAACTTGTTAAAGATTCTTTCTCTTTTCTATAAGTCCAAAGTCAAGTATACCTCCCGCTGAGCTTTTGAAAAGTTAAGTAAACAGTTTACTGTGAGATTTCCTTGGGCACATTGGAGTGTCAAACCTATTTACCATTATGGACTCTGGTTTTGCATATTAGGAATGATTGTTCAAATGCCAGAAGACAAAATAAATTACCGTTTAGGCTAGAACTAATCCATTTCGTGGTATGGACAGGAGAAACTTGGATCAGTTAGGTAGTCACCAGTTAATGGTCTAACAGAATATCAAACCATGAATAAGTACATTAGTTAATGGTGGATTAGGTAAAATTGCTCATTTCAAAAACATTATTCCTATATTTGATCAAAATTTGAAATTTTCCATACATAATCCCAGTTAGTCTTCAGAATATCTGATATCTGCTTTTTGGGTTTATAACTTAAAGTCAGAAGATTGTTTAGATGGAGATCATAGCATACATGTGTTTTCTCTATATACAACTCAAATTGTTACTATAATCTGTTGCAATACCTGGTCCACTTGAGGTATGTCAGTTCCAACACTTGCTATTCAAACTTTAGCTTACTATGAATCACTTAGTGAGTTTTTTCTAAAAATTGCCATTTACATATACATATATATATTTATACTTTTATATATATATGAGCTTTTTCTAAAAATCTTTATATATGTTTAATTAATTCAAGAACATAAATGGCTAAAATGTAATGGAGGCATCTCTGCTTCCTGAAATAAAATTACCAGTTGAGTAACAGACTCAAGCACTGTAGATATGACTTGATCTCTGGTGCTCTCTCAGCACTGTTGGCATGATTGCTGTGCATAATGGATGTGAGATTTGAAATCACCACTCAGTTCTTCTCTCTAAAAGGTGTAGTAGTCAGTGCTTAATTATTTGGGAGATTGGATGGGAGGTTATGTATATTCAGTTTTTCTTTTTACAAAATTAAGCAATGGTTGACTGAAAAGGATTGTTGTTTATCCTAGGACGAGTAACAAGTCTATTTTATACATACAGACTCCTGCCTTTTCCCCAAATATAACTGAAGATTACCTGCATGTGTGCTAATAAAACAATAATTCTAACGTCAAGTCAGTATTAGTCAGAACCTGCTGTGCTTGGTGCTGTAAAATTACTGAGGTGTCAGTGGAAGTGACATAAGAACTAGTCTGATTGGAAAAGATGAATAGCAGATTTTACGCAGGCCAAGGGTGTTGTACAGTCGAGGTCCGAGTTATAGATTGCAAACAAGGCAAGTGTCATCAAGTAAAAGGAACGTGGAGACTCCTGGGATGGTGCCTTTGCCCCATTTTCCAGTAGCTCCAGCATACCAGGTGCAGAATGGGAGCAGATTCTAGTTCAGTTGAGCACCAGATGAAGTAGGTGGCTTGTATGTAGCTGCTACCTTGTATGAAAAATGTGAATCACTAAACACTATTACAAAGCTATTGTGAGGTTTTTTAAAAATAGGATCCACAAAACAGAATCTTGGGAAACAAGATTGAAGACAAATTATAGGGCTTTGTATGTAATTAGATAAGAAGGAGTGGAACACTGACATTCGGGCAGTGTCGTTTCAGAGCTAGGCTTTCATACAGTGAATGCGAGAAGCGTGACGAGGCAGAGAGGCCACCTAGGAGGTCCTTGTAACAGCCTGGACTGGGGCTCGTGAGGACCTGTTGGATCCAGGCTGGAGAAGAGGAAGAGGCAGAGGAGCAGGAGTGCCCATCCTGCAGGCAGGTGGAAGGACCAGCAAGTGACTGGAAGCAAGTTAGAGAAAAGAGGTTACAAACAGGACACGGGCAAAGTGACTGGTGTAGGTGCTAAGAGACTGCGTCATAGTTACCAGAATTGAGAACAGGAAGAAGCGTGTCTAAGTGAAGTACATAGTGTTTCACTTACCAGACTGAACAGGTAATAAGTAAAAATCTCCAGCATTCTTTCTTCTGGGCGATATGGTTGTTTGTCAGAAGTCTAAGGCTCCAAACCAGTTGCAAGAACAACAGTTGTTTGGTTTCTTTTTTTTCAGTGAGACTAGATTGCTTCTAGGTACAAATAATTGACCAGCCACAGCCTAATCTTATATATCTGCTCCAAATATCTAGAACAAAGCAACGGAAGATTCCCAAGTTTAATCTGACTTCAACTAGAAATGTGAACCCTCAGTAGAAAAACTGAGGCAGTGGATCTGTTGCAGCTAAAGCCTTTGTATTGCAGAGAAGCTCAGGTGCAAAGCATGAAGCCTTTCACTTTCATTAGTCTTGCTGCCTTAGACTTAGCAAATGAAGCTCATGAGCTAAAATTAGGGATGACCAGAGCCCCAGGCAAGTACTCACGTACCATTTCTTAATTTTTATTCAGAGATAATGTAGTAGCTGGATATATATGCCTCCTGATAATGTGCTGGTATCTTACAAAGAACATTACTGACTTTTTTTATCATAAAGCAGTTGATTTCATACCTTTTACATATCTCAGAGCAAGAGAGAGATTTGCAAACCCCAAGGTAAAGGGTATTTTTGGAGGGTAAGACTTGGTGGTTGACCTTAGAAGATCCAGAATGTGATTATTTTAAGCTGTTAATTAACTATACTCATCGAACACTTCCCAAAGTAGTGATTCTTGCTTTTCAACCATTTAACATTTTACATGATTTCATTTTTTATTTGTAAACTGTATGAGGTGCCAAGATTATACAGCCTACGGAGTACTTAGTTTTCATTTGTTACTTGGCTGAAACTTTCTGTATAATCTCAGCCTTGCATGTTTGCAAGCACTGTTGCCCCATGAAGCAGTGCAGTCGGGGCTCAGGTCTGGTTGCCGTCCACCACTGCAGGTTGGTTCCACTTCCGCACTGTCGGGTTGCCTCGAGGATGTGAATTCCGCCAGCCTAATGCTAGTCTGTAGACTTGTTTGGGAACTGCTGTGGTACACCATTGTCACGTTTGTGGAGTATAATCATAAATCAAGCCAACACGAAAAAGAAAAAAATTTGTAAAATTCTTATATGACTTGTAACTAGGTGAAAGTATTATTTATGTTGACCTTTCTTAACTATTTTATTTAAAATCACCTTTCTCTAGGTTAGTAATACCGAAGAAATTACCTTTGAAGCATTGAAGAAAGCAATTGGTGAGGTTTTTTTGTATTCATTAACTATTCCTAGTATTTTGATAGCTTATCTTTATCTTAGTACATGTTTATATGCCCGAATAAATAGAGGCAGCATGAAAAATATACTGTTGATTTCTATATAAATATATCATTGGTTTATTTAGCTACATTCTTTAGGCTTTTACAACTGTAAAAAATCAGAGTAATATTTTATACAAAGATAAGTGAAGACTACAGTCAGTTCAGCCTGGGTATGAAGTTTGGCTGCAGCATTTCTAGCTGTGTAATCTCGGGAGAATGTGTTATTTTTGCTGCCTCAGTGTTTTCATTGATAAAATAGCAAGGACTAACGTGGCACTCAATTGTGCTTGCTGACATTCAGCCAGCTCCTCTCTTTCACCCCATTACAGACACACTTCTTACTAGTCTCTGTGCCTGTTAAAAAACACTCTGTTATTTTTCCCAGTGGTTCTGAGTTTTCATCCTGTTTCTCATATGTTCGTGCAGCCTGCATGCTGGCCACCAAATAAGGGTGGCACTAAAATGCACTGTGATATGCTTGCATAACTCTAGAAAAGTCTGTCCAGATGAAGGAAAATAATTATCTGTGATGAGGTAGACATTTATTATTTTACTGTATTACAAACTTTGGCCAGACCACACATCATCTCAAGATAAAAACTCACTTTTCTGATTGTGGTTCGTGGAAAAGGCTAATGCAGTTGGTTCTGTACTATGCCACTCGATACCAAGGTGAGCAGATTTTCACGGCAGCGCCTCAGCTGTGCAAGCGTGTCACCGGTGGTCAGGGACTCACCCTTCAGGAAAGAAGTGTCGTGCTCTGCCACTTTGGTGGAGAGACAGAGCTAGTCTATGAAAAGGGGTCTTGTGTAGTTTTAACCCTTAGATTTTTTAAAAAATTGTATACGTGTTGCTTTCTAGTTGTAACTAAGACACTTCAAGCATGGATATCTTTTGCTTTTTTCCGCATAAAAGGAGTTCTGTGACTTATGTCTCATTTGGGTTTTGAGGTCATTTTCTCTCATGGTCATTGGCGAGGTTCTGTGAGATTCTGTCTTGCTCTTAACGGGTCTTTATAAACATGCACATAGATACCAACGGGATGGAAGAACAGGAGAAGGAAAAGAGGCGCCTCGTGATAGAGAAATTCCAGAAAGCACCTTTTGAAGAAATAGCAGCACAGTGTGAATCCAAAGTGAGTGACTAAATGCCAAAGGGGAGGGGGTGGAGTGTGGTTTTGGGGAAACTTTCTTGCTAATTGGTTGGTGGATTTTGTCTTTAGGCAAATCAGCAGAATACAACATGATGCATCCCATAGGGACTGAGACATTGAGAACATAGATAGCTATGAGTAAAATAATTTCTTTGTGTTATATAAACTAATGCAAATGAGAGATCCCAAACTACATGTTAGTGATTGATGTTGCTTTCATACTTTCTTTGCAGTGGTTTCCAATGCTTTTGCTGTGGGTATTTAATTTTGTGTGTCTATTGGTTTGTTTTTACAAGTGAGACTAGGAAAGGAATAAAAGAGAAATTTTACGTTATATGAGACAGAAAAGTCAAAACATTAAAGCATTCTGTACCATCAGCTTAATAGTTATGGTGATGCTTTGTCTTTTAAATTGCATTTTTAAATTGTATTATTACATACGAGTATTTGGAAAACAGTAAGTTCATTCTTAACATTTTTTCTCTTTTGTAGGCGAATTTGCTTCATGATAGACTTGCTCAAATACTGGAACTCACCATACGGTAAGGGTTTTGTTATTTGTTACTACAACAGCAATAAAACAACAAAGTACAAACTATTAGCCCCATATAGGCTTGTGGCTGATTATGTTTAAATAATTAATGTTTTTCATTTAGAGTAAACACGAGATCGTGCAGGTACCTTTGTCTTGTTAGGCATTGTCTTCACTAGACAGAGTCTTCGACCATTTCTTGTCCAGGGGTCTCCTGGCTTTTCTAGCTGTCCTTTAGAATGTTCCTAAAAGGATAGCTGGGTAATTTGGAAGACTCACACCCTAATGATATGCTGAACTAGGCAAATTTCTCCTATTTTACCATTTTGACTTGCAAAAACTACAGTGTTTAATGGTTCGACCTCATAGTTCTTTCCAGGGCAGTAACAAACTTTGAGATTTTCTAAATCATAACCCATTATAAGTTGTTTTATGGTCTAAAACATATGGTATCTAACATACTTTGGTTACTGTGTGTCAGTCTGTTATTAAGTAATGAAGCACATGACAGAGGGAGAGGCAGACTCCAGGTTTCAACCAAGGAAAGCTCTTCTGCCTGTTCTTTTATTGCTTAGTGTGGAAGCTGCCTTGGTAGGAAATGGGCCGTAGAGGATCCGTAGATAGGAGCCATGATTCTGCACCTCGTTTCTACATCAGCCTTAGATTTTGTAATTTCTAGCTTGATTAACAAAGACTGTTTTGCTTCAATCCCAATATCCTGTAAATAGAAGAGGCAGATACAGGCTGTAGTCTGCTTGTTTTTTTATTTCAGCCTTTCTTCCTCCCTCATAGGCAAAGCATGTTTTCATCAGTGTCACATCTTACCCTAGCATTTCCCCACCATTCCTGCCAACCCCCAGCAAGCTGTGAATCACTCATTTACACAGTTTCAGAACAGAGAATGGGAATGAGAATGGGACGGAGATATGCAATATGTGATATACTTTAGATTCAGAGAAAATTGCCTTTCTTTGATGCCTATTAGTTGTAATAGTGAACGTCTATTATGTACTTGATCTTGTGCTGTGTACTTTGTTATTTCTGCTAATCCTCACCCCAGCCCTGCAAAGTTAGGTAGATGCTATTTTTTTCATTTTCCAGGTAAAGACACTGAGGCTTAGAGAAGTAAAGTAACTTGCTGCAGTTCATCCAGCTAGTGAGTGGAAAATTCAAAATTCAAATTCATAATCCATGTTCTTAAAAAGAGCATTGCTAGAGACCACCCACCATGTTACATTTAACCACACTGTCATAACCATGTAGATTTCGTATTTTAGAATAAGTGTTATGACTAATTGTTTTGTTGATACTGAAACTATTACTAATAATTATCATCAGTTTATAACTTACTACTAATTGTTAACATTTATTGAATACTTACTACTAATTGTTAACATTTACTGAACACTTACAACTCATTGTTAACACTGAACACTTACAGTGTCTTAGGCACTGTACTAAGTGCATTAATCATTTAATATTTACAGCAGACCTAAAAAATAGGTAGTGATTATTTTTACTTTACAGGTGTAGCAACAGAGGCATGTAGAAGTTGGACCACTTATCCAAGGTCACCTAGTTAGGAAGTAGCAGTTCTGAATAGCTTACATGATACAGGGAAATTAAACGGACTTCTTAGTACGCCTTCAGAGTTCCTGTCTAACATACTTCCTCTTGCTAATGTGTCTGCCCCTAACCGCCAGGCAGAGGAAAGAGTGTGTGTTCTATAGAGAAGTAACCAAATAGTCTTATACTTCAGTCCCCATTGTTCTTGCATCCACCTTGACCTTGGCACAATAAAGAAGTTTTAAGAAATGCAATGAGCAGGAAAATACAGCATGAGTCAGCAGCCCATGGATGACCCAAGTATTGGAATTAGTAGACAAGGATCTAAACACACACACACGCACACACACGCCTCCAAAGAATTTAAAGAGAAAAATACACATATTTTAGGAAAGAAATGGAAACTGAAAAGGAACAAAATTATAGTTCAAGAACTGAATGCCATACAACCTGAAAGAAGATTTCACAGAATGAACTTACAGTGTGTGGGCATCATCGAAGAGCTCTCCTGCATTGCTCATGGGATGTGAAATGGTACAGACTCTTAGCAGACTTGAGCAGTTCCTTTTAACGTTAAACATGTACCTGCTCTTCAATTTGTAATCCCACTTCTCAGAGAAATGAAAACATATGTTTACAAAAAGACATGTACATGAATGTTTTAGCAGCTTTTATTATAATTACCAAATGTTCATCAATAGGAGAATGGATAAATGGTAGACCAAGAGTGGTAGTCTTTCTGTGGTAAAATACTACTCAGCGATAAAAAGAAATGCATTTTTGGGGTAAACCTGAAAAAAAAATATTGAGCAAAAGAAATCAGACATAATAGAGTATAGGTTGTATGGACCATTCCTGTAGACTGTGAAATTCAAGAACAAGTGCCACTAATCTGCAGATTACTCTCTAGCTATAGTCAAAATCTTTGCAATTCTTTTTATATCTGAACAAAGGATGCTAAAGACCACGTGGGAGAATTCACTTATAAAGCAGTCAGGGAAATGCTGTGGAAGGAAAAACCAGGGAGCATTTGCCTTGCTAGGTAGGAAAACGTGATAGATGCTTGGAACTTAGAACAGATTGGCCTTGGGTACAGGTAAATAGACTAGAGGAGATTTCATATTTGGCGGGAGAAGAGGAGATGTTCAGCAATCTTGTTTGGACAGCTGCTAATGACTATTGACCAGCAAAGGAGGGGAAGAGAGGGGGATTCTCTATTTCTTTTACCAAAATAGAACATTTTAACTAGAAAAATACATAGAAATACTAGAATTTATACAGGAATTATTTTTTAAATGTTGGTCTGGAGAAAGTTTTCCTTAGCATTACATCATACAAGGATACTAAATCTACAAGGATATTTATATTTAGCATTAGTGGTAGCCCGAAATTGAAGATAGAAATAAGAATGAATTCCCTTTTGCTTGTCAGATTGGCAAAGATTTAAAGACAAAAAGTTGATTACATGTAAGATTTATAATGGTATGAGAGAATAGGTATGCTCAGATGTTGAAAGTATAAATCACTGGTATTCTGGGAGTATATACCAAAGTTAAAATGTGAGTACACTTTAATCCAGAATTCTATTTGTAAAATCAAGGATGTAGGCAGGCAGGATAAAATTATGTATGTGTAAGAATAGACGTATGAGCATTATTTATACTAATGAACAGTGGAAATCAGGCTGCATTTTATCCACTGGATTAAATCAGTTATAATATACCATGTAATGAAATACCATGCTATCATCAAAAATGAGTAATATATGTGTATTTGAATTTGAAAGACTTTTTACTAGTGAAACAGCAAACTTACAAGGATGTATATATTGTAATCCCATTATAAAAATTATGTATTCATATTCAAAGGAAAATGTCTGGTTTAGACTTAAAAACAGCTTGATACCACCATGATCTATTTTCTGTGTAGCGTTCCAGCTGGCCAGCAAGCACAGCACAGTGACCCCTGCAGTGCAGGAGTCCTACCTGCTGGGACAGTAGTAATTAGGATGCTCTGTGAAACAAAGTTCTTTTGTGTACACTGTTGACAATGCCTGTCCTTCTTTTCCAGCCCTCCTCCCAGTCCATCGGGAACACTGACCATTACTTCTGGGCACGCCCAGTACCAGTCTGTCCCCGTCTATGAGATGAAGTTTCCAGATCTGTGTGTGTACTGAGTGGCTCAGGAAGACCTCAGTATAGGATTTTAAAGCCTAAAAATTAAGGCCAGGCTGTTTACTTAATGCATATTAACATACTTCTTGAAAATAACGCTGGAAGGTATCTTCGACCAAATGCTTGACATACCGTATTAGAAATTTTGAAACTATGTATGATTTAGAGTACTTTTGAAGATAGATTCATGCCATGTTAATTTCTTTTGAGGTTCCTATTCGCTTTTAAAGTTGAACATGTATTAGTCTCAACATTATTTCATAGTTAAACAATATATTTTAAACTTTTCACAAACGTAATTTTTTAAAAATTAGACCTTTGAGGGTTGAAAGATGTATGAAGTGTCTACTGTATTTCTTAACATCTACACAACTGCTTAGAAGTAGAATTTTTGCTCTTGTTTCTGGTTATCTGTGAAAGTAAAAACATACAAATATGTTTGTCCTGGGGCTGCAAAACAGCTCTGTGGCTTTTGTCCCTCTGTTTCAGATGTGCGATAGGCTCCCTTTATTCACTTACCGTGATATATGTAATAGGCTTTCCTCCACCGTTTATGGTAGTGACGTGTTGAATAATATTTCTAGAATATGACCCTGAAGTCGCCATACTTTAAAGTGTCTAGTTCTCGTAATACTGTACTTCCTGCCGAGAGTGGATCATTCTACTTGAGAAGCTTAGAGCTTGCTCTCGGAATACCAAACTGTGCAATATTTTTTACATCATAAGATGTATTAGTTTACAGGCTATGCTTTGAAATTATAGTAGTATTTTGCTGTGGCTCCATTAATTAAATGAGATCTATATTTAGTATAAAGACATTTAAAGCAACTACTAGTTCACCTGTGAAGAGCATTTTGATTTTTATTAAGAGCACATTAATTTACATTTTTATATTGTGCATTGTTTTAAATCCTCAGTCAGAAAATTACTGAAGTGGACTTTTGATTTGTAGGATTTGAACTGTAGCTTGTATGCATTTGTGTTTAGGGTTTGTTATATTACTTTTAAAGGGTGCCTATGGTGTTAGCAATCAAATGTGCTAAGGATTGTCAGTGTAGACTTCTGTGACCTAAGCCGCGAAGATGACATGCACTGACACTCGACCTGTGCTGAAAGACCGATGGTGTTTTCTTACAATAGGTACATTTTAGTGAGTCTATCACATGGCAAAATGAACAACTGTCTTTGCAAGTGTTATAACATTCTCTTAGGACATTTTAATAAAATAACCTGTTTATAGTTCTACCCTTTCTGATTTTATTTATTTTTACATAAAAAATATACATATCTAGAATTGTAGCGCAAAAAACAGTTTAGTTTTCAGCTTTTGTTTTTGTTGGGAATTGCAGTGAGGAATGGCATGTCACACCTTTGTGTTTGTGATGGTTTAGATGCCTATAGTAGAGACAGAAAAAGTAAAGACGCACACTCGAAATGTTTTCAATATGTAAACCACAGTACAGCTTCTTCAAACACCTTGCAAAAGACTGCAGTCCTTATAAAATGCCACTCTCACATCCTGGACTCCTTAGTACACATCGTTGAAGAAGCCCTGGTTTTCTGAGTAACAGTGTGGGCACCACTGGGGCTCACGGCCATACAGCAGCTGTCACTGTATTCGCCTCTTGATCGGCCAAAATGTTTTGCCATTTAATAGGCCAAATTTTATATCTTTTTTATTTCCCTTTTTTTCTTCTGTATTTTTAAAGAAGGATATTAATTTTTGACAGTGCATTTGAAAATCAGAGCAGGGGGACATGCAAAAACAATCACCATCCACTTGGATGTTACTTTATAGATGAACACTGTGTGCTTCTGTAGGGAAATGTGTACCTTAATAGTCTGAGAACGCACTCTGCTCACCACAGGCTTCCACATCTCTGCTCCATCCAATGCATGTGTTGCATGGAAAAGGCAACCACTTCAGTCCAGGTGTATCACATTTTTCTCCTGTCTGTGTGTAAACTATTGATTCGGGTTTTGTGGGTTTTTTTATATTGTGTTTAAATCACAGTAGACTTCTATGTACCCTAGGCTATTGAGCTGGTCTTGTTAACAATGATTCCCAAGAAGTGGGTCTGCCCTTTGGCGTGTCCTTCCAAGAGGTTCTGCAGGGCATAGGTGAGCATACTGTATTGTGGCCAGCTCTGAGGCTGAGTGTAGGATTGGTTGAAGTTCACTGTATTGCTATATTTTTGTAGATATTTAAAATTCTTAATAAACTGTTAATCACTTTCTGCTGTATACAGTTGCTTATACCACTCATTTTTCTCTTGACATTGAATCATTACACTTAAATGTTCCTCCTACACTGTGTTGTCTTTGACTGCTCATAGAGTTTGGTTGTCATTGGCGTTAGCCTGAGTACGCGTGCGCACACACACACACACACACACTCTCATACACACACTTTCACACTCACCCTTAATACTTCTGAACTCATTATCTTTTAGAATAATGCAACATTTTCCTATAATGCAACTAACTTTCCTTAAAATATCTCTTTCTCCTGTCTGAAAATGGAACGCATTAGTCTTACTGCGATATACGTAATAAATGGAATGAAGCGAGTTTTTTTGAAATATAAAAATTCACTGTGTAATTCATATGTAAGCAATAAAAGGAAATCAAAATACTTGTGCATAAGTACATTTTTATAATAACCATTATTACATTTATTAAATAAATTTATTCAATATTTTGCCATAGTTAAAAGTGAAGATTTTTAGTGAAAACCAGGTTGTCCAATGGATTCACCCTCACAGCCACCAGAAGTATCAGAGCCCTGGTGGCTGGTCATGAGGAGGCGTGGCCCGGGTAAAGGGCATGGTGAGCGTGGGAAAGCGCCACTGACATCTGCATCCGTCTTCATGCTCGTTCTCAGCCCCACCTCCTTGCCGTATAAATTATAGGAAGCCTCCCTCTAAAATAACAGCTCCCTGGGACCCTCTGCCACCCTGGTGTGCTTTTACCACTCGGAGGGCTGCAAACATAGCCTGAGGGCCCCAGGGACTTCCTTCAGGCCTCCTGGCAAGGCCGTAGGGAGCAGGGCACCGGGCTGAAATCCGCTCCTACCACTTCCTTTCTGAAGGCCTTAGGCACGCGACTAAACTTGAAGCTTTGAAGTCCTCACGTGTAAGGTCTGGGGAGTGAGTCCCACCCTCAGGTTCTCTGTGCCAGGCCTGTGTCCGCATGCTCCTCGCTGTTCCTGCAGCTCGGATGGGCCTGAGTGGCTTGGCCCTGCCTCTGTTCTGTGGACTTGGGCCAGTTGCTCCGCATTCAGAACCCATTTCTTTAGGTGCAAGATGAGCAGTCTATATGGTTTGCTGTCTCATGGGATCTCAAGATCCAGCTCTAACTCACTGGATCTTGTTCCCTAGTCTCTTGTTTGATAAATTACTGATCTTAAGTTCAAGTGAGTGAAAACGCAGAAAAACGAGCACCAAGCTTTGCCTCGTTGTTTTGCGGTTTCCTTTCACTTACACTTTGTGTCAGAGGTGGACTGCAGGGGGGCACTGTCCTAGACTGGGTTCTCCTAAGGAGAGCTGAAGACAGGCTCACATGCAAGGTTACTCGGGGACCTGACCCCAGGAACCTCTGAAATGGAAGGAGAAAGGCTCATTAAGAAGATTCATTTCTGGCCTGGCCAGCGTGGCTCAGTGGCTGAGCGCTGACCCATGAACCTGGAGATCATGGTCCAATTCCAAGGTCAGGGCACCTGCCCAGGTCGCAGGCACAATCCCTAGTAGGGGGTGTACAGGAGGCAGCTGATCGATGACTCCCACACCATTGATGTTCCTCTCTCCCTCTCCCTCTATCTGAAATCAATAAAAACTTTTTTTTAAAAAGATTCATTCATGTGTTGGCCATCACTGGGTGGCTGCAGATCCAGCCTCCTCAACAGTCTAAGGCTTCTCATGAGGAAATCAGAACCGTCCACCCAGGCGATGGAAGTCAGGGGAGCACGTGTCCTGTGGCTTCTATTCATGGTCAAGACCCCGTTGGCATGAACACCCCCACATTTCTGGATTGTGTGGCTTGAGTGCAGAGCCCTTTCCAAGGGGCCCCACGCCCCATCAGAGAAGACCTGTGTCAGGTAGGAAGTGTGGGACTACAGAGGCAGGCCTCGCCAGACCCACCTCCGGGGATGCAGCGCGTCAGCCTGTGTGGAGCTGGGTGTCACAGTGCCTGCAGTAAGACGTGGGACCAGGCGACATGGAGCTGGAAAAAGACGTCCGACAAAGCACCACCTAGTCTGACATTTAAGGACAAGACTTAATCTAGAAGCATTAGATAATATCATTTCAAATTTCCCCCATCTTGTGTAATGAGTCAGGGGAGGGATTTTTAAAGATGGGATGCCTTTTGCTTGGTACAGAATAAATCTCAACTGGTGGGTGAGTGGGTGAGTGGATATAGTTCATTTTTTTCAATTACTATAACAAATCTGTGTGTCAGAGCAGCATCTGCATTCCCTGACCTTCCACTCGCTGGCATAAAACCTCACTTTTAAAAAACAAGTCCAGGACCCAAGACAGGCTGAGCAGCAATTCTTCATCAAGGTGGGGTGGCACATGGCCACTCTCCTAGTAACTAGAATGACAGGTGTATTTTTAGGGCACAAACCAATAGCTACCCCTCAGCCCTTGGCACATCTTTGGTGGGTTATGGGTGACTCAGGTGATCTCAAAAGACTGACTACATATTCTCCCTTCTATTTTTAATAGAAGAAAATTAGCTCCCGGTGATTAAGGAGTAGAGACATTTTTCCCTTCATCATTTCTACATCTCACCTTTGTACCAGTATCTACATTTCATAAAAGCACACAAAACCAAGGGGGAAACAAACCGATTAGCATATTTATTGAGCCTCCGCAGTGCACCGCAGGAAGCTTGGAACCACACCTGGTCCGCCTTCTCCAGATGCACATTCAGAGGTGAGCTGACAAGCGTGACAGTGCCCGGGCCTCGCTGCCTCTTCCCCTTTGAGACTCTGCTCAGAGGACGGAGGGGAAGACAGAGGCCCAAAGAGGTTACCCTAACGGGAGAAACAGAGCAGCAGGGTGTGCCTGTCATTCTCTTGGGCTCTATCTGGGGCCACGTTGTGGCCTGGCCCCCATGCGACCAAGTGACTTCCCGAGAAATCTCCTGGTTCTCAGGTGTATGGTGTGGGGCACGGCCTCCTCGCTGCTCTCCTCGGAGCTGGAGCCGAGGGAGGGCTCCCAAGGCCCTGGCATGCCGTCCTCGCAGGGGCGCCGGCTGCCCTCGCACTCCTGTCCGCCCGACGACTTGAGGCTCTGGTTAAAGAAGGCCGAGGCCATACACTCGGCCGCCGTCTGCTCACAGGCACAGAGCAGCTTCGCGCACAGGCTCTGCCCCACACCTTCGAGGGGAGAACATAGTAGCAGCTGTGAGACACGGTCCCATGAACGTGGAGCCCTCCAGGGGGCCTGACCGCCCCTTCAGCCCTGGCCTCCCACCCCCATCTGGAACCTCTGGGTGTCCAGCATACACTGGTTCCACTACTGGAAATATCCTCAGCTTTCTTCTGATTAACTCATATTTGGTCAAGACTCCCCTTGACATCCCCTCCCCAGAAGCTTCCTCCAGTCGCCAAGCTAAATGCAGTATCTTCCCTGCAGGCTTACCTCGAAGGAATCCCACCTTACGGCTCTATCACAACAGATTGTTTTTTCTTTTTTTTTCTGCTTGTATTTTTATTTGCTAGGCCTGGCAACCCTACTGTATTTCTTGCATGTTTTAGTTGCATGCTGTGGGTGTGGTTGGATAGCACCTGTGCGACATGAGGTCACGTGTTTCCACGTGCTTAGACAGAGAGAAGCATTCTGCAAATGTTACTGTGGCTTTCAAAGACGTATCTGGTCTGTTGCATTCGTTCGTCTGATCCTGCCATGAAGTAGTCACCACCAGGTCAACCAGGTTTTTTCTCACCACACCAACCCTCCAGATCCCAGACTCTGGCCTTCACATCAGCCCGGCACACATGTCATCTCAGCAGCAGGAGAAGAGCAGAGTGGACACACACAAGCCTGCTTCCCGGAGCAACTCGGACCCTCGGCCCGAGCCCAGTGTCAGAAAGCACAGAGCAGGCTCTGGGATGCCCTCCTCTCATCACCTGTCACCTGCACCAGGTACAGGACATTGAGCTCAACCTCTAATGCAGTGTTCCTAGATCCTGTGAGACCAGAGGGGCGGGGGAGACCTCACAGCGTGATTCCATCACACGACAACAATAATCTGGTCCTGTCACTCATGGGCTCTCAACCCACCCCTGGCCCCCTGGTCTCCTACAGGACAAAGTGTCAGTGTGTCAGTCTTGGGTTCATGATCTGGTACTGGTCTGTCTCCCGGCCTCACCTTGCACTTCAGCAGTCTCCCCGCCCCCCCCACTGTCCCTGCTGGCCATACAGGACCATAGGTTGACCCTACACTGCCAGGTGTCCCCAAAATGCCGCAGTTTTCCTCTTTTTCCTTTTCTTGGGACATCCGGAAACCCGTTCAGGTCTCACCTCGCTGCCTCTGCTGACTGCCCCCAAGTCCTCCCATCCTCACAGCCATACTGTGCAGGCCCCACCCCCTTTACCCACGTCCCAGACTCCAGGCAACCTGTTAGCATTTAGGACACGAGATTAGGAAAGTCGCTGGCTTGTCCCCTCCCTCCAGGCTCGGGTTTGAGGCAGGGTTCATGCATGCTCACTGTTTTTCTAGTTCCTGATGAAGGTTTGGTGGATAAGTAGAAAGTTGAAGGAATGAGTGGATGGATGGATGGATGGATGGATGGATGGATGGATGGATGGAGGATCAGCGACACGTAAGCATGGAGCTCTCGGGAAGTGAGGGCCACGCATGATCCACCAAGGCAGCACGGCATGGAGGTGGGTGCAACGTGCAGAGGAAGGAAGGGGGAGGGGACTGCCTGCGCCAGTGGTTTCCCCAGAGGAGAACGCAGAGGAGAGCAACCTTCCCTGGGCTCTTGGGAAATGCTACCAGGAGCACTTCCTTTAAGCCGCAAAGCATTTGGGAAATGCATCCACTGATGTGGGTGAGGAAATAGAGCCAGAGAATGTCCATATCTCGAGTGCTAAAGCAAGTTTATTTGCTCTGGGTGCTGATGTCCAGGGGTGGGGCAGTTTCCAGCCGTCCTGCCTGAGGCCCTGAAGGGCCACAGAGGAGCCTCCAGCCTCCAGGACAGAGAGAGATGGAGCTGCGGGCCCACCCAGCCCTTCAGCCAGGGCCACTGTCTTCCTTATGGGGCCCCTCAGAATCTCACTGGGGAAAAGGGGTCTACTTCTTAGGAGAAGAGGCCCGCCGGCATGGTGAAGGCTCCGTTCGAGGTCTGAGGCAGTGGGGTTTTGCGGTCCTGATCCCAGCCCTGTCACTGCCTTCTGCCTGTGTGACCTTGGACCTGCGCCCCGCCTCTAACCTGGGGAGACCCCAGTGCTCTGTCCTTGATGGTTGTGAGGATGAGCTGCGCTAACACAGCAAGAGCTTAGCACAAACAGCACGTGGTGAGCGCGCCACACACACGGGCTTCTGTAACTCCCCGGTCTGCCCTGCCCTGCCCTGTGCCCTCCGGCAGCTGGCAGCCTCTCCGACTGGCATCTCCTCCTGAGTGGAACAGGGGATCTAACGTGTATCTCAAAGTGAAGAGGCTTGTTAGGCCACATGACCGACGAAGAGGGGCTGGGGAAAGTGTCTACACCCGGGAGCTGTGGACGCGGCACTCACCCGAATGAAAGTGTAACACTGGGAGGCCCACACACTTACACTGGGGAGTCCCGTCCGTGCACACGACGGGCGGCCGAGGAAGCCTCCCGAGCAGGCAGCCCAGCCGCCTCGCCTGCTGCAGGCAGCAGTGGTGGGACCAGCAGCACCTGCGACCAAGGCAACGCCTTCACTCCAGGGCTCCCAGCTGCCCAGACTCCCTCGGGCTGCTTCCCCTGCACCCGCGGCGATGAGCGGAGCCAGCGCCCCCTGGCCAGCGTGCAGGGCCTGATTCATGCGCATGCCAAGCCCCCCCGCGCATGGCTGTCCAGGCTGTGCCCTGCACAGGGACGCCACATCTAGAGTGGCGTCACACTGTACACATCTCACTTTAAAAATTCTTGTTTTGTGGTTTATGATTCTGTTGACTGCAAAGATGAATGATTCGCATGTTTATTACGATAATTTTCCAACAGATGGAAACAAAGGGTCTTGAGGATGGGCACTGTTTTTAGTGGGGACTACAGTGACCTTGCTCCCTCCAACCTTTTACATAATAGAACAGTTACTCCCACATCCACAGAGCATCCCACTTGCCCCCCAGCCTTGAGCATAAATAAAGAACTATATCTGGAAAAGTGACTGGCATAGAGTGAGACCTCAGTAAACATGGGAATGAGTCAGTCAGTGTCTTGCTTCGGAGACCCACCCATCTGGCCTGATAAAGCTTCAATCTCCAGTGTCCCCTCAGCCAGAGGGACATCCGAGGACTCCTGATGGCCCCGCCCAACAAGGGGCTACAACTGCTCCCTACAGCCTCCCTTCTCAGCCCTTCCCCTCCTTTATGTCTCACTCCATCCTGGAGACCCAGCGGAGCAGGGGTCACTCAGAGATTGCAGCTTTTTGACAGCAGGTGTGCTCAGCCAAGTGTCAGCTTCACGAGCCTTTCCGTGCTGCTGGCAAGGGGAGGCAGCCCCCACCTCACGCGTCACATCAGCCAGCGGCTGCAGGTGGGCGTCAGCTCAGCTGTTACTGCCACAGGCCTCGCTATCTCGTGTGCGCATCTGGCTGGGGCGGGTGCCCATGCAGAATTAGTACAATAGTTAAAATCTAAAGTCAGTGAGTGAACCCGAAATCACGTATGATCAGAAATATCCTTGAAAATCATTCAAGTTGCCCGGAAAGTAAAGGATGCATGGTTTTGAAGAGACACCCTTGCAGAAAATGGTGCCCGTTTGGCCAGCTCTTCCTCGGCCAAGGCTGTGGCTCTCAGTTTTCCGTTGCATCCCCATGGGCGTCAAGGAAGCCCCATCGTAACTTACCTGCCTGCCTGGTCAAAGCTCATATTTTTGTGCAGTAGGCTCAGTGGTCAGGGAACATCTTCAAAAACATCCCCGCTTCCTGTCCGTGGGATTCCACAGGGCTCGGCACGGCTGCTGCCCAGCTTTCTGTCCCCTGCCTAATCTCAGAGGTGCTAGGGACTCAGGGCGATACAGTGTTCTCTGTCGTGGAGAGTAAAGGGCATATTTCCAAATTTCATGTGTAGGCATGCTTATGATTCCACAGAGTGCTGTACACTTTGCTAGAATCAAAAATTCCTTAGTGTCACCCGGCGGGAGGGACGTTTTGAAGGGTCAGGATGACTGTGCAGTAGAAATGGGAGAAAAACCAGGGTGGAGGC